CTAATATGAAATATGTAGATAAAAACCCTATTTGATAAAGTAAAGTATCATTAAAACCGTTTTACAATTGAAGATATCGCGTAAATAACACACAAAAAATATTTATTCGAATTTGAACCTCCTCTATTGTTTGAAGTCGGCTAAAACTTACAAAATTGCTTAAGATACAACAGTTCCAATTAATTGTGTAAATTCTAAGTTGCCAAGAAGGATCCAACCTACATTCTTGTCAAAAATCAAACGTCGAACTCCTTATTAGTACATTTTGCCATAGGTATTTGTAGTAAAAGTTGCAGTAAATAAAAAGCAAAATGGTAAAAAAAATCGATATCAATAATTGCCATTAAATAGCCATCCAAACTTTCCGTGTCGATGTCTTAGAAGTGTCTTTTAGTTAGTTAGATCAGTTTTGCGTAACTACAAGTCTGTGCAATATATTAAAAGTTTTCCTTATAGATTAGATCGTATTTGATTAAAGTTAGGTAATGTCGTGAAGAGGTAGTATGAGGAAATCTATACCTCATTCTTCCTCGAGTCTATTAGTAAATAAATAAATCACTCCACTGCTGAACATAGGCCTCCCCCAAGGAGCACCACAAAGCACGGTTCCGAGCCACCTACACATATTATCTTACGAAGTTGTCACTCCATCTAGTGGGAGAAAAAAGAACCTTCTTTCTTAGAGAGAGCCCTAGTATAACTAAATTGCAAACAAACTCAATCATTATTAAATATAGGCGATCGGAGGTTATTGCGCTTTTGCTTACACAGGACTGAGATCCCGTAAAGGGCTAGTTTTCATACACTCCTGTACAATTCAAAATTTTCATACGGGTGACAAAAACACAGTATACCTACCAGATAAACCTCGATTAAGAATGTGTTATGAATACTTATATCCCTGATGACTTAAATTAAATGCCACTTTACCGGTAAAAAGTGTATCCAATTTTTTTGCGCACCTTACAAAACACATTTCAACATTATGCTTATATTCCTAGAAAATAAAAACCTTTAATTAATAATAAAAACCTATCTATACAGCGAAGCTGCGGCTATATTATGCTTGCAGCACAAACGGGTCTGCTTGACCAGGGAAGGACCATGCTCCCACAGAATACCAGCGTGAAATATAATAATTATGATTATTTACTAAACTGAACTTAATCTATAATTACAAATTTTAAGAAGCACCTAAGTAAAATACTGCCCCAATGCGTGTTGGCGAACTTCATATGTCTTTTCGAACTATTTTTTTCTTATTCCTCAGACATGCAGGCTTCCTCACGATATTTTCCTTCACCGCCGAGCACGTGGTAAATCAGCACTTAAAATTGCTATGAACAATTTCATTGGTGCCGGCGGGGATAGAACCTGGGTTACTCGCATTCTGTTATATTTACAGTGAGCGTTAACTGGTACTACGGCTCTTATATTTATCTCACAGAACACCAGCGTAAAATAGCAGCTTAATGCTGCTATGTTTCGTGTGGTGAGTGTAGAGAACCGGAGACCCTTTTTACTGGAAACGAGGCATTCCATCTTAGTCCTCACGGGTGACAACGCATTTGCATTTTGATTCGTAATTGAGGATAGATGTAGATGTCTATGGGCCACAGCATTCACTTACCATCAGGTGGACTGTGTGCTCCTTTGTCTCACTATCCTATTTAAAATAAAACTTTTTCGTTTTAAATTACAAGGTTAAGTATTATGTTATTGAATAACATTACTTAACCCGTTTTCTAAATATTATAAAATTAATCCATCCAACCAAGAAGCATTTATTGCATTTATGTCTAACTTTCAGCACCTGCCACTTTATATGGCCCAAATAAGACTTTGGAACCGGATTCTATGTGAGGGTTACCTCCTGCTCTTTAAAATTTTGACTATATTATTATGTATTATATGAATGCATTATTCAAATATATATATATATATATATATATATATATATATATATATAATTTTTTATTTTATATTAATTAAATTATTATAATAATATAGTACTCCCCCTTATGGACCTATGTTGTCTGAAAATAAAAAAGATTTGATTTGATTATCAAAGATATTATTTTTTATTTTTAATACAATTTATTCTCTACAACATTTATTTCACAATGCTTGTGATTATACAAGCTCAGAATAGCGTTAAATAATAAACGGAAAGTTTAAGAAATTACTTAAAGCCTTGTTATCTCTTACGATTATCTCATAAACCTTTTTAATGAGTCGACGTTTTGTTAAAAATGGCACGAAATTGCTGTGATATATTGTTCATCATAAAATTACATAATATCATGTTTAAAGTAGAAAGTAACGTTTGAGGTCAACGCTTATATTAAAGCTTATTTTTTAAATGCAATATGCATTTTACATTACGTAAAATAATAATTTTTTATAGAACAAGGGTGACAAACGAGCAAACAAACCACTTGATGGTAAGTGGATGTGGCTCTTAAACATCTACACCTATCTTTAGCCAAGAATCAAAAATACAAATGTGTTGTCATCCCCGAGGGCTAAGATGGAACGTTACCAGTAAAAATAGTCTCCGGTTCTCTGCACTCAACATGTGAAACACAGTCACATTAACATGCTATTTTACGCTAGTAATCTGTGAGTGTCTTCATTCCCCTGTCGAACTACAACCATAAAATAGTTGCAACGAAGCTGTACTCTCTCTATCCTCCACCTAAAAAATTTAACCACCGAAGATATTTAATGGGTTCATTTTACAAGCTTTTATATAACTTCACATGCCATGTATGTTTAGTTAAAATCTTATAAGACAAATTTGCAAATATGTTTCACATTAGCATTTCATTCTAATTTAAATATCATTATGAAAATATGCGCTTATAACTTCGAAATTGACTAATGATCTAGTAATCGGACGATTAGTTTTATTTTATTTATTCGGCTATTAAGTTTTAGTCGGCTACGCTGACCTGCAGCCGAAAGCGATTGGTTAAATTAAGGTGTATTTTATTAAATCAAGGCTAAAATTAAGTGTAGATGCTTTCTAACTTTAGCTAGGTTTAGTTACGCCTGAATAATAATTGAAATTACTATCAGTTCTGTTACCTAGTCAAAATACGAAAACACCTTTTTAAAATATACTACAATATGCTAGTCGTTTAACAGTACATAAAGTGCATGAAAAATCCTTCTTTAAGAACTTACGAACATAGTTTTTTTCCTGAACTTGACACAGGGGTAAATGATCAAAAAATTGATTCAACAGCTTAGAAATAGCTCAGAATTGTTTAATTTTGAGTCATATTTTGTTGCCGATTAAAAAGTTTGTAATATAAGCTGTTTTTACATATTTTTTATAGAATAAGAATGACAAACGAGCACACAGTCCACCTGTTGGTAAGTGGATGCTGTGGCTCATAGACATCTAGATTTATCTTCAATTAATAATCAAAATGTAGATGCGTTGTCAGCCCTGAGGACTGAGATGGAATGCCTCGTTTCCAGTAAAAAGGTTCTTCGGTTCTCTACGCTCACCACACGAAACACAGCAGTATTAAGCTGCTATTTTACACTGGTATTCAGTGAGAGCGTGGTCCTACCCCGGTCGAGCTGACCCATTCGTGCTGCAACCACAATATAGCTGCAGCATGGCTCGACCACGTAATATCGGGCATAAATTGTGAACTAGATTTTTACAATGATTGAAATTATAGTTTATATAAATAATAGAATACAAATTTTACAAGGCGATGACGGTGTGAAAGAATTCATGACCCCATTTCGTCCCATGGGTGTCGTAAGAGCAGTCTATGGGGAAACCAAAAAGATGCAGCTATATTACTGGTATAGTTGTAGCACGAATGGGTCGGCTCGACCGGGGAAGGACCACGCTCTCATACAATAACAGTATCAAATAGCTACTTAACACTGTTGCGTTTCGTTTGGTGAATGTAGAGAACCAGAGACCCTTTTTACTGTAAACAAGGCATTCTATCTTAGTCCTCACGGGTGACAACGTATCTGCATTTGGATTCGTTATCGAGGATAGATGTCGATGTCTATAACTAACTTACCATCAGGTGGACTGTGTGCCCGTTTGCCACCCCTATATTATAAAAAAAAATCTGGTTTTCGTCAAATATAAATTAATCATACCACCAGCGTCAAAGTTACAAGACGCGTGATACTGCGATTATCAAGTTGCTTGTAAAGACTGATGATGAGGGCAAATCCTCCCTACAATGGGAGAAGCCTATGTCTTTCAATGGGTTTTAATGGGCTGATGAAGAAGTGATGAACATATGATAAATTAATTGGTGAAAGAGTTCGATGAGATACTTGTAAATTACTACAATATTCTTAGATATGTTCTCTAGCGGACTTCAAACACTAAAAATATAAAGTTCCCGTTTACCTTTGCAGTGCATTAAATCCACTGCTCTACATAGGCATCCCCCATAGATTGCCTCAGATGGGGGATTTTGCCATAGTTGCACGCATTGCCCTATTCCAATCCCTCTGTCGCCTCTTACGACACCCACGGGATGATATGGGATGGTGGATAGAGTTTCTAATTAAAAGTAATTAGATTAACAGATTGATACGTCAATCATAAATTGAACAAAGTTGTGAATATTAACTAAAAGAAAACTCAAAAAAATACCCGTACATGATCTTAGTTTTTATCGTCGTTGACTATAAAATTATCATCGGACAAACACTAATTGGTTCATAGAGTTACAAACATTCCGTAACATTTAATATTTGCTAACAATGCCAAAAAAAGTATTGCCGAAATCATCTCAACGAGGCGCAACATTTTCAACCACTCTCACTTTCACTAAGTTGTTTTTTTTCTTACAGATTGGAGAGGCAAAGGAAGTAAGGCTCTTGGCGCATTCAAACGAGAGGCAGTGTAGTGAAAATAAATAGACGTGAATGATCGTTTTGTGTGTGTTCATGAAAAAGTGAATTGTGTGGTGTTGCATTATTATTATATTCTACCTGGTTTCAAAATGGTAAGCGATTGTATTGTAAAGAAAATTGAAACATTTACAGAATGTCAATATTTAACTTTAACTAATTTACCGTGTAGCTCTGCTGTTAATGCTACTCTGTTAATGTTTTGCTTCAGTTAGAAACCGTTAAAATTACAATATACGCCTGTTAATTCCAATATTATTAATTTTGAGGAACAAAACATTATGTTTAACTTTAAGTTTTTAAGTATAGTGCAGACAAAACAATTTTTTTAAATGAAACGTTACTACACTAGGATTTTCTCCAATATCGTAGAGGCATAAACTGCATAGGGTCAAACGTACAAAGCCGGAACAATTATTTGTAGGCCATATAAATACTTGTTCCATGAAGGATTCGAACCCGCGGCCCGCTGCGCTGCAATTTACTGTGCGAAACGGAATCATAATCATAAAGTTGGAACGTACATGTAATTTTTATTCCTTTTCTCAATTTGCTTATTATTAAATACAAAAATGAGCAAATGTTTGTGTATTTAAAATTACAACATGAAAATTCTACCGTCAACTTGTTCATACGGCTTAATCAATCCAATTTTTATTTACGTTAAAAAAAGAAGTAATTTTGATTATTTGGACAAACAATAAAAAAATTTGAAAGTCACATGCTTAGATCATAGAACAAAAGGCTGAGCGCTCATGCTATTTTTTTGCATTTATTCTTCTACACCCAGTAATAAAAATTGTATTTAAAATATAATTAAATTAATTTAATAAAAAATATAATTATAATTTTCTTTAAAAATGTTGTATTTGCGTACTTATTTAAGCTGCAAATAATTATATGATAATTAAGTAATATTTAAATTATGCTGACGTTTGTCCTTGTTTTTAAAATCACACATCATATTCATAGTTGCTATAAATACTGTTATTGCTCATTAACTAATACTGACGATTGTTTTATCACAATGGACACTTAATTTCGCTTTTAGAACCTGGATGACCACCTACACAATGAGGTTGGGAGTGAGGAAGATAGTTACTTTCAAGGCCACGATCAAAACTCAACAGTTAATGTTTACATATCTTATTGTAGGCTTGCAACCCACACTAATTGATCACTTCTTGGAGTATAATTTACGTACACAATTTCACAATGAATACATCATATATATGTTATACTCATATATCATGCGCAAAATAATATATATATATATATATATTAGGTACGTTCATTAAGGGAAAAGCAGTTTCATTCGAATGTAATAAAAGCGATTTCAATTAAATTCTCTCTGTATGTTCACCAGTAAATACATGGGGGGAAATATGTGTTTATTTTCCAATAAAAGAGTATATTTCATTTTAAAAAGAAATATCACATAAATATCGTGCAATAAAATTGCTCGCGGGCCGGCCAAACAGGAGCATATCGCCGCTCCTCACTCATGACTACTATATACTATTACGCCTTAAGCAGTTAAATTGCAAGCCTTCGCTCATCCCTTCCAGAGATTCCCTTAAAAGGGGGATATTAGCCATAGTTGCCACGCTTTGCAGGCGGTTGGGTAAAAACAGTTTTTTATTTTTTAGTTACGTAGGTGGACAATGCTCCTCATCTACTGGTTTGTTTTGTTCTGTCGCCAAGGGGTAGTGGATATTCTTACACCAGTCTTATGGACGACACACTCGGTCAGTTCAACTGATCATTCGAACTAATTAGTTTAAACTAAGACTGTTGATATTTTTTAAATATCAAATTTTCGATATATCGATAGCTACAAATATATCAATATCGAAGTTTTATATATAAGTTTATTTATCGATATATCGAAAATCCGATATTTAAAAAAATATCAACAGCCCTAGTTTGAACTGATCAGTTGGAATGATCAGTTGAACTGACCGTCTGTGTCGTCCATTACATGGTTAAATTGCAAGTGAAAAATTTGAATCCAGTTGGAGATCAAGAGAGCTATAGTTGAAATTAATAAGCTTGGCGATAGTATCGCTTATAAAAGTTGCAATTGCAAGATTCGAGCTATATATAATTATTACCTCTAAGGAGGCTTTTAGTAGTTTTCAGCTACTCTGTTTTAACGCGCAAACTATGTAATTTCACGTGTACAGCTTTTCAAATGTTCCAATACAGTATTAAGAATAATCACGACGACTGTTGCGGTCTCCAACCGGAAGTTTAATTGCATCTTGAGTTACGAGTGAACGCACGCGCGCGGAAATGAAAATGAGATAAATTTGCGTCCTTGACATTTAGGGTCTAGTTCAAGGTTTGCCGCCTTTTTCGTATATTTTTACCCACTAATGATTTTTTTTCTTTCGCTGTGTACTTGCAATGTTTTTATATTTGTCAGCATAAAGTAAAACAGAATTTTTGTAACATTTTACTGTCTTGTTGTAATGGAGGAAATTTTCATTTAATGGGTGTGACAAATGAATACCTAGTCTACTTCTATTCATCCTCGACCAAATCAAACTGCAGATGCGTGATCCTCGAAATCTAGAATTTAATAAGTCATTACAATTAAAAAGCGTCTCCAGTTATCTTCATTTAGCTTATGAAACAGCAGCATTAAGCTGGTATTCTGTGTGATCGTGATCCATCACCAGTTGTGAACCGTAAGTGTTGCAGCTACATTATACATTTGCAGTGTGACTCTAACACGTCATTTTAGTACTAAAACTTTAAACTGATTATCTGGAGACAATTGAAAATGATGTTTTACTTCTATATTCTTTTACTCTGTGTACTTACTTTCATTAAAAAGGAATAGTGGATAGAACTTCCCATTTTTTTTAATGTAAAGCAAGAATGCGAATCTTTGGACAAATGGAAATAAAAAGCACCGCCTACTTGTGACTTTACATTCACCGCTAAAAAGTCTGACACGTTATGCATTCCATAGTTTTATAATTTTTGACATACATTGTTTATTTAAAAAAAGTGTAATTTTAGATAGTTTAAAAACATTACAATGCATGTGTCCACAATCTTGTCACTAGTGCTAGCTATCTAAGCCAGTAATTATATATAACATATATCTTTTATAGTGTTTATTTTACGAAATAATGATCATAACTAACTGTGTATGATAAATAGATTAAAACTGTTTACTTGTTTAAAATGTATCATTGACGAACAATCTATAAACAAAATGCACTTTTTTCAACTGACATGTCCAATTATAGACAACAAAGAAATAAACTGCTTCCAACTTTTACATATAAATAGAAACGTAGAATCGTTGAATAGAAATAGCATATTATAACAATAAATGTATGCAAACCAAGCAATTTGTGATTTGTGATTGGTGTGAGGAAAGGAAAATCTATTTCACTACATATTTATCGATATCGATTGATGATAAATTCAACCAATGGTGAAATTCAATAGGTTTAGATATTCTAAAGAAATACTTTGTCGATAAATGCCACTCATCTAATCCTCTTTACGGTCTTGTAGGTTAGAGAGAAAAGTAAGTTTTATAATGAGCGTGCAACTGAAAAAGAACAAAAAAATGAGTTCTTTCCTTTAGTTTAGTCTTTGACGTTTAAATTAAGAAAGGAAAAACAGACAAGCTTATGCTTTTCATATGTTTGTGTTTGGGGTTTTTTCCCCCGCATTTCTGTCATTATATATTTTTTTAAATGAATAGATTTCGATTGTTCTATGATCGAAAGTTTGCTGGCCCGGCATCATCGATATCATATTATAAATTTTATAAAGTTTCCTTGTTATTACTTCAAATTCAGTCTATTACATACTGCTTAAATCTACATACATCATCATACAGCTCAGTAGTTTTAGACAGATTTGAGATTGTGCCTCCTATGACCTTTTTAAGCTAAAAAAAAAATCATACTTACAACATTCAGCATAGGCAACACGGGTCACCGGCGGACCGGATGAGAGTTGCCAAAGCGTTTTTACCCTGTACGGAACTGTCTGTCATTTTTTGCGGCGGGAAATCTGTGCACACAAAACAAACGTCTTTCACAACAAATAAAACAATAAATTAACACAATTTCACACACACACATAGATATTATCTGTCTAACCGTGAACAGCAGAAATGTATAGACAATGGGGTTAATACTTTGATTAGTAAATAAATGTATTTTTCTAAGAAAAAAAGTAATGGAAAAAACGACAATTTCATACTTTAACACTTTTACACACGTGTTCAGTCTGTAAATGAAACCTAAAACAATAACCTAACAAATGCTATAGAAAAAAAATTCCAAATTTATCTTTAAATACAACAGCCCGGACTCAAGCTACGCTACCTATAAAATTTGGAGATATCAGTATAAGAAATCTTTCTAGCGTTTAATTGCTCGCTTTCCTTGCTTCCGTGCATAGTGCCAGTGACTTATGTTACGTACTTTTAAATAATAAAGTAGTAAAGGAAAACGTTCTGTTCCAGTCAAAATGTTACACTGGAAGTTGAATATTATGTCAATAAATAGCTACTATATATAATAAAATCAGTCACGTCATAAATCTGTAATACGTAAATACAAACAATTGTTATAGATGTAAATTTTTTCTTATAAAAAAAGTATATCTAAAGAAAAAGTCCCAGTGTTTTTTATCTGTGGCGTTAGCGCTGTTAGTCAGTTGGCTTTACAGCTTCATCTGACACAGGGCTCGCGGCCTGAAAGGCCACGATCACTAAGATAAACGAACCTCTACAAAAATATGTATTATTTGCTTCTGGTAGGAGTTGGACATTGATATTTGTTTGAAATAGGTCTAAAGTAATTAAAATATGGTTGATTTTGACAATCGGTCGATTTTACTACTTCATAAATAACCATGTAGTGGCGGTGTAAGCACTACGAGTACTACCCTATATTGTCCCATGGATGTCGTGAGAGGCGACAGACGGAAAGTAAAACAGAAGATGCAGAACATGAACAGAACATTACGGGCATGGGATAGGTACAACCAAAAATTATAAAAAAAACTGCGGTTTTAACTCGCTTACCAAACGTGGCAACATGGCAAATCGCCGCTA